TTTTTTTTTTTTTTTAAAGAAAACCGAATGTTAGAACAATGGTAATCAATGGAGTTAAGGAGGAAAAACAGACACTATGACCTTCCTGGAGGGGCATCCTGGCAAAATGTGTCATAAACTTGAAAAGTACACACACTGATCAGTCCACCAGCACTACTTCTAGGAACTATCCAAAGGAAGCAACATGAATGTGCTGAAAAGTAACTACAAAAAAAGCTACAGCATTCTTTATAATAGCAAACATTCAAGAATAAGCCAAATGTGTAACAAAACATAATTAAAGTATATGATACAATGGAATATTAATGTATCATTAAACACAAATTAGAATAGTTAAATGTACAGAAAGATGCTACCTCGATATTAAACAAAGAAGTTGATAAAATGGCAAAAATTATTATTATTATTTTTTAAATATTTTATTTTATTTTATTTATTTTTTTTTTTTTTAAAAGATTTTATTTATTTATTTGACAGAGACACAGCTAGAGAGGGAACACAGCAGGGGGAGTGGGAGAGGGAGAAGCAGGCTCCCCACCGAGCAGAGAGCCCGATGTGGGGCTCGATCCCAGGACTCCGGGACCATGACCCGAGCCGAAGGCAGACGCCCAACGACTGAGCCACCCAGGCGCCCCAAAGATTTTATTTATTTATTCATGAGAGACCGAGAGAGAGAGAGGCAGAGGGAGAAGCAGGCTCCCAAGGAGCAGAGAGCCCGATGCGGGACTCAATCCCAGGACCCTGGGACCATGACCCGAGCTGAAGGCAGACGCCCAACCATCTGAGCCACCCAGGTGCCCCCAAAATTATTATTTTTAAGTTTTGAAAACCAGGTGGTCATCTGCTGACAAATAGGTGGTTTTTTCTTTCTTGTTTGCTTATACCTGTTTCCTGAAATTTTAATAATAATTTACAATAAAGGGAGATATTTTTTTTTAAAGGCTCTAGCAGTGTGATAAATGCAACGATAAGAGAAGGATCAAGAAAAGCAAAGCTGAAGGGCGCCTGGGTGACTCAGTCGGTTAAGCCTCTGCCTTCAGCTCGGGTTGTGATCCTGGGGTCCTGGGATTGAGCCCTGCATTGGGCTCCCTGCTGGGTGGGGAGCCTGCTTCTCCATCTCCTTCTGCTGCTCCCCTTGCTCATGCTCTCTCTCCCTCTTTCTCTCTGTCAAATAAATAAATATTTAGGAAAAAAAAAAAAGCAAAGCTGAGCCTTCTATTATCTCCTTAGAACAGAGAGCCGAGCTCCTAAAGCAAAAAACCTAACTCCAGATGATTTGTTAGGCCAAGGAGACTTAGACAAGATGACAGCTTTTGGCAAGCCTTGGTGCAGAGCTTGGTCAGGGGATAAGCTGAGTGCCCGCAGGGTGGTTCAGGATCGAGATAATGTTTATAACGTAAATGGCGCCATTGAAGGGGCTGAATAAACCCTACCATTTATTACAACAATTGTAAGTTACCACTTCAGAGCTCAAGAAGAAGATGGCCTCCGTCATAGTCCCCTAGGGTGGGGAGGGAGGTTTGTTAAAAATTCGATACATTTCTGAGTCCTACCGCAGACCTAAATCCCTGGAAACCACTAAGCTTGGGATTATGAAGCAGTATTTTTTAACAAGTTCCCCAGGGGGTTCTTCCTTGAAGCCACTAGTATAGAATCTAGTTGGGTGAGGGAGCAGGTTTAAGGGATGAAGATAGATTATCCTCCTTCGTGATGAATTGATTCAATTAAAACAGTTTCCTCAACCTTGACTGCCTATTTTAATCATCAGAGGAGCTGTTAAAACTCCTCACGCCAGCCTGCTCCCCAGAGCAATGGCATCAGACTCTCTGCGGCAGGACTGTGGCCCTGGTCTTTTTAACAACCCCACCCCCCCCACCGCCAACCCGCACACCCAGGCAATCTCAGTGTTCAGCCAAGTTTGAGAACCACCCTATTCGAGGCTAAGTACTGGGGGCCCAGTTTATCTTCATGAGTTTACATTTCATCTGTCACACGTACAGTCTCAGCTGATCTTAGTCAAAGGTCTGTGAAGGAATGAAAAATGGGCAAGAATTACATTGTTCATTATTTTCTGCTCCTTTCACACAAATGATGGATTAGATGTACCAATCAATGACCACCCTCTCATGAATTCACTCAACCCCATCTCAGCCCTGGGCTTTTCGGCTCATTAAGTATCTGAATCTTTGACTTAATGACAACTATGGAAAATTAAGAGCTGGAAGGAATTGCTGAAATCATCCTATTCAAATCCAGCTTTACAAAAAAGGAAATTGACATCCAGTTAGGGTAAGCATTTTGCCCAATGTCCCGCAGCAAGCTGTTACTAGATCCTAGTCTAGAAATTGGATCTCCTAACTCTTACTTCACGGTTATTTTTCTCACTCTGCATTGTATGTAACTGAAACACGGAAAATATGGAATTCAACCTTACTGGGTAATTGTGTGCTTTTTTGGTTTTGTTTTTGTTTTGGACCCTGAATTATAATCTGATTTAGGGCACAAGTCTTAAGTACCAAAGGCTAACGTTGCTGGTTTTAAGATCTTAAGAAACTTCTTGATCTTAAGAATTATCCGGTGGCTTTGCAGATTCATAGGACTCATGCTAGACTTGTAAATCCTAATTACCTGCAGAATGGTCAGGGAACTATATATATATTTAAAGATTTTATTTATTTATGAGAGAGAGCGTGAGTGCACGAGTAGGGGGGAGAGGCAGAGGGAGAAGCAGACTCCCTTCTGAGCACAGAGCCAGACCGGCTTGGGGGCTGCTCTATCCCAGGACTGTGGGATCATGACCTGAGCCAAAGGCAGATGCCTAACTGACTGAGCCACCCAGGCGCCCCAGGGAACTATATTTTTAACAGACATATTTATGATCAGTCAGAATTTATTTTTTAATCAGGCAAATGTTGCCCTTGAGTATTTAACTTTTCAAGTGATTATTCCCTGAGAAAATGGTCTCTTGGTCTCCATCTCCTTGTAATTTTTTTGAGATAGATGTTGTGGTCTGGGGTTTTTCATTAGAACAGGCATTCCATTCTGAGGTGCTACTGAATGTCAACTGTCATTAGGAAAATCTGAAAATTTGTGAGGAAACGTAAACATTTCAACAATACCCAAATATCTTGGCCAGTGTAGACTCAATTTTCTTGAAATCTGGTCTCTTCTCTGGATCCTCCTCCCAGCAGTTTTTTACAAGTAGATAGACCTGAAAGAAAGCAGGGGTCGATTGGCTCAGGGGGCGGTTTCCAATCCTACTGTCTTCCCTCCATGAGTAGTTGAGGCAGGGAATATTTTTAAAGCAACTCAACTCTGACAAAGAGGATGAGATTGCTGGGTTCCCTTCAGTCTGTCTCTGCTCCGCCCTCTGCACCATCTTGCCTCATCCTTCTAATGGAATGAATGCAAGGAAGCATTGCCCCCCTGAGAGGACATGTGACAAAAACTACAGATCTTCTCTCAGTAAGAACTACAAAATGTTTGTCGTCCCACTAGAGTGGTCTAGTTCAGGTGTTAAACAGACACACGTCCTAAGTTAATGAAAAATGTGATGCCAATCTGGACAAGGCTGGATTGTTGGGAGAGACAAAACGCTCTACAGAAGTTTGCAGGGTTTCTGTTGCCGAGGACAATAAATCGTTGGGGTCAGTGGATATGAGGCAGTGACTGTAATGGGAGGCTCTTCCACAAGGGTTTCCAACCAGGGCTACTAGTGGAATCATGTGGGGAGGTTTCCAGTTTCTTATGCCCAGGCCCCACCTCAGGAGATTCTGACTTCAGCAGTCCCTCCTTGTCTGAGTCAACCACGGTCCGGAATCAGATGATCCTCTTTCTGACCTATCGGCAGGGTCAATAGTAACCTAACAATACTTCACAACGCCCGCGTCATTCACTTAGCTTTGTCTCATCACGTGGGCATTTTATCATCTCATGTCAATACAAGAAGGGTGAGTGCGGTATGGAAGGATATTTTTGAGAGACAGACCACAGTCACATACCTTCTATTACAGTATATATAGTTACAATTGTTCTATTATTATTGTTGTCAATCTCTTACTGTGCCTGATTTAGAAATTAAACTTTACCACAGGTATGTATTTATAGGAAAAAACCTAGTATATACAGGGCTTATCTGTGATCCACTGGGGGTCTTGGAATGTATCCTGTACATTTCTCGATTGTTTCTAGATGCTGACATATTCAATTGTAAATCAATGAGTAGGATTTACAAGCCTAATAAGTGTATCGCATGGACACCTTGATCTTTTAGGTCCTAAAAATTGAGAATGGGATATGGGCTTCAGGAGCCAGCTTTTTCTTGCGCTGGGAGAGGTGAGAAAGGATGTGGGGAGTGTGGCAGGCTGATAATGGCACCCAAAGGGAATGGCCGAGGTCTGGCCTCTGGAGCCTGTGAATGTTACCTTATTTGGAACAAGGGTTTTTGCAGATGTGATGAAGTAAAGGACGTTGAGATGGGAAACTTATTGTGGAGTATCTTGGTAGGCGCATTCAGTCACATGAATCCTTATCCTGGGAGCAGGTGGAGGGAGATTAGACCAAAGAGGAGACAAGATTGTAACCATGGAGGCAGAGATCGGAGTGTTGTGGCCACACGCCAAGGAATGTCAGTAGCCCCCAGAAGCTCCTGGAAGAAGCAAGGAATGGATTCTCCCCTTGAGCTTCTGGAGGAAGTATGACCTTGCTGACAACTTATTTCAGACCTCTGGCCTCCGGAACCATTAGGCAATAAATTTCTGTTGTTTTAATCCACCAAGTTGCTGGGAATTTGTTAGAGCAGCCCAGAAACTCATGCAGGGAGATGCACTCACTTCCAGTTCTTTTTCCTCTGCTGTTTCTAGGAATAGATCTGGGCGGAAGGGTTTTACTCCGTTGGCATTCTCCACTCTGAAAATCTTCTCTGATGGGATGAGAATAATTCAAATTACAAGAAAGAATGCAGCATGAAAACATTTTAGCAGCAGCAGACTCTGAATTGGTTCATCCTCCCCCCTCCTCCCGGATGGGGTGCCCAGTGAGAACGTTGCAGAGCTGAGGCCAGCACTCAACAGGATGAATGGAGCCACCAGGTGAAGGGGTGTGATACCCACTTATACCCAGGAGGTTAGCTTAAGTTAAGGTTCCTAAGCCTTTAAAACGTAACTCGGATACCACTACCTTTAGTAGGCTTCTTCTAAGACCCTAACACGCCCTCCCTATACCCCTTAGACACCCACCCTCCAGAGAGTTGAGACCTGGGACATAATTGCTCAGTAAGCAAGGATTGGATGAAAGGAAGGAAGCGTTTGCCGCACCCCCCAGCCCCCCCACCCCCGCCCCAGAGAGGACGTGTGACAAAATCTATAGATCTTCTCTCAGTAGGAACTATAAAATGTATGTTGTCCCACTAGAGTGATCTAGTTCAGGGGTTAAACAGACACTCATCTTTTATTAGAATCAGAAGGGAAGGGGGAGATTGTAAGGAAAGAGTCTTTAACTGGCAATGATGACAATAACAACATCTGGTATGTTATGCTCTTCAGAGCATTCTAACATTCATACTGTCAACCCCTCTAATACCCCTATGGGACATGCAGGGTGGATATGCCATTACTTTTTGCAGATGAGGGGACTGAGCTGTGGTCACAGACAGATGAAGTCAGCCTAGAACACAGGCTCCCAGAGAGGGCAGATGAATCGGTCTGACTTACCATTCTGGTCCCGGCAGCTCAACGTGTAGAAGGTTTCTCTCCGCAGGATGATCTCCTGGGCAATGATCCCATAGCTGTACACATCGCCTTTCTGGGAGATGTTGGCTTGGCGGAGGTGCTCCGGGGCTGTCCACAGGTCTGAGCATTCAGCAGTGAGATTGCAAAATCGAGGGAGATGAGTGGCCCATAGATCTCCAACCCGCTTTTGTTCTTTAAGTCTCTATGCCATGCACCCTTAATCCGAGTGGTCCTGAATTTGTATGTCCCAAACTTTGGAGGAGTTTATGTTAATGCTGGTGATTGGGGGAGAACACACCCTGGCCTTTTAAGCTGACTGTGTAATGCCAGGATTTGGGTGAGGTCACGTGGCAACGTCTTCCCTAAAACTTCTAGGATCATAGCGCTGAAAACCCTCAAGCCTACCTAGAATAGCACCTGGTGTATAGAAAGTACTCGGGAAATATTTGTAGAATGAGTGCAGTAGAATATGAGAGGCTGAGGATTTAATAGCTTTTGGGACATATGGCATACATCTATGAAAACCTTCATAAATAAAAAATATATAAATTTATATATTTTTATTATAAAATAAAAAATACATTTATATATTTTGTCACATAAAAGTATTATGTTTAATATATATGCATACATGTTTAAAAGCATTTAAGTAAAGAGCTTATCACTGATATTTTGCAGGTGGGACGTATTGGCAGCCTCTAAATCCGCTATTGCTCACAGATGTGTTTTCTTGGGTTCCCACAGTATCCTTTAAAAAATAATGCATACAATTTGGGCGCCTGGGTATCTCAGTCGGTTAAGCGTCTGCCTTCAGCTCAGGTCATGATCCCAGGGTTCTGGGATTGAGCCCCGCATCGAGCCCGGTGCATCATGCTCCCTGCTTAGCGGGTAATCTGCTTCTCCCTCTGCCCACCCCCCCCACCCCTGTTCGTGCTCACTCTCACTCCTTCTCTCGCAAAAATAAATACATAAAATATTTTTTAACATTACTGCATACAGTAATTTTACTCTGTGCCTGCTACTTCCTAATGCTTTCCATGTAGTTCACTTCACACAAGTGAAGTGTTCCTGTGTTCCATGTTTGGTTCCTATAGACACTTGGGTTTTGAACCCTATCACGTAGCTTATTTAGTAACAATAAGGGCATACCATTAATTTTCCTCCATCCCATGTAAGTTTTCTAGGGTCACCTAGCTTCTTCTAAACTTTTTGTGATTTCTGTCTTCAGCAGTTTCAATGAAAAATCTATAGATTCATGTTGTGAGGTCCAGTGGCATGCTTATGTTGAGGCACGTTTTCCTCACGTTTGGTTTGCCATCCAAATGTTCATTACCTTTTTGAATTTATGTCTTATTCATTTATGTGACTTGCGATTCATATACATATGATTGATCCTAATGGTTTGGGGTAGTAAGAAAGGTAAGTAGATCCACATATGCTAACAATTCAGGTAACCCACAGCACAGATAGGTAGGTATAACTGAGTGATGTTCAAGAGGAAAGCATTTGAACAGCAATTCATCTGATTTTGTGTTGTGGTGAGTCATCTAATGAAGGAGGTTTGTTCCACCACATGATGAACCATGCTTGACACGTGCTAGATATTCATCAATATCTCAATATTGGATTGAGTCCAATGTCATCTTATGCTTGATGTGACTGAAGAAGTAGGAACAGCATTGTAATTTTTCTTTCATTTATTTATTTTTAAAATGTATTTTTATTTACTTATTTATTTTAAGTAGGTTCCTCACCCAGTGTGGAGCCCAACGTAGGGCTTGAACTCCCAACCCTGAGATCAAGACCTGAGCTGAGATCAAGAGTTGGACACTTAACCAACTGAGCCACCCAGGCGCCCCACCATTTTTCTTTTATTAAGGGAAAACTAAAGGATTGCCAAGTAGAATTAGAAATAGAATTTAGGTTTTTGGATCTAGGTGGTATTTTGAGGCATTACATGGGAGCGCTAGATTTCTGAGGCTGTTTGACCCTGAGTTATAGTAAAAAATGGATAAATGTTCAACATGAAAAACCCTTTAAACACTGCACATCACTTTTCTTTCTGTTACTTTTTTTGACCCTTAGCACAATCTAGAAAGGGACAGGTAAGAATATATTTTACTAAGAAGAGGGTTTTTTTTAAATCATTATAATTTCTTATCATTATCACAGATAAATGAATGAGAGCTTGGAAATAGGTCTTCGGCCTTGAATTCTATCTTCTTGGGCAAATCTCTTGGGCTTTTGGAACCTCAATTCTGTCTTCTATGAAGGATGAGGGTTAGAGCAGATGATTTTTATGTCTCTTACGACTCTAACCTTGTCTATTTTTTCACCCAGTTCTGCTTCCTCAGCCAATAAGTTCTTCATGATTTCCTCACTGATATCAAGAAACACAGGGATGAAGGAAACCCACAGAGGAGGTTTGTTGGACTCAAGAAGCACTTGTTAAAAACCGACAAGGGTGAAGTGCTGGAGAATGAGCCAACTGTTTCCTCTTGTGGCTCTAAGTCTTTATTGACTTAGCATCACCTATTCCCTGACCACCTTACATGGACTTGGGAGAATTTTTTTTTAAGTGGGAAACCAGTAAAAATGTCATTCATTACAGACCTTTTCTGGGAGGCAAAATGGAATTGCAGCCAAAATCAGTGATCTTCACCACCATTCTACTGTCTACCACACAGTTGGTGGATTTCAGGCGGCCATGGACTTCAGTCTTACTGGAGTGCAGGTATGACATTCCCTATAATTTTTCAGATGACAGGGAAACAGAGATAGGACACTCTTCAGCTGCTTGATTATTTTAAAGAAAGAAATGACATTCTGAAACCATTTCAGCACGCATACAGAATCACACTATCAGATTTTAAATTTAGTTCCGTTAATTTTACTTGAAAAGTATTGTTAATGCCCTAATATTTGCCTCAGCACGGCATCTTAAGAGGCAGTTGTCTAAAGACTGTAGTTAAATAGTTACATCTAATATGAAACAAAGCGTTGATCCTAATTTTTTTTTTTAAGTGTTTCTGCTGACTAATTATTCAATCTGTTTGGGTATATCTCTGGTCTTCCACCTCAATTAAAAAAATATGAATAATATAGCCTTGCCTTTCTGAAAGGAGGAGCTAGCCTTATTATTTCCTAAAATATAATTGGTCTCATTCTATTTTGAAAGAGAATGTTTCCTTCAGTTATGAAAGGGGAAGCCCCCCACCCCCAACCTTAGGTTTTTGGGCTGCTGTGTTTCCCTCTGGTGGCCAGAGGTGTCCTTGCAGAAATTGGTTTTCATCCTGGATCATAGGAGTGAACAGTGGCAAAGAGAGTGGGGATCTTATAATATTTTTAAAAACTGATTCTGATTCTAGATGATTTTCAGGTGATTTAAGACTATCAAACAGCTCAATCTTGGGACTGACTTTTCTTCATTCTTGAACGAGGTCCTGGTCACTGGTATCCACTTCCTTTTTCATATCCTATCTGGGAATATTCATGTTCAAATTCATTATTGCCTCGTGCAAGAGGGTTGCCTGCCCTTGATAGTTTCTCATAAAAAGTTGAAGATTGTTGTCTTGCCTGCAGCTTTATATGATTTTGCTTTCCAGCAAGTCTATGAAAATGTGTGCCCCAAACTCAGAGTAGAAAAAATATTAATAATAAAAAGAATAGCTTGTATATTGAACATTTACTTGTACCAAGCATCCTATGAAGCACATGTATTATTTACAAAATCCTCACAACAATCCTCTGACATAGGTACTATTTTTATTATCATTTTACAGATGAAGAAACCAATGGTCAGAGAGGTTGAAAGGCTGCTAGATCTGTTTTCCTATGTTTCATTTTCATAAATGCCTTTGTGTTTGCAGGTCTCTTACCTTAGCAATATCATATAAGACCGAGATCTTAAACTCCCAATCCATGAATGTACCATCAGGGTAGGAGATGGTGTCATTTAAAACTTCCTGAATGGCAGAAAAAGAAAAGGAAGAAGTTGCAAGGAGGGGTACTGTGGAGAGACAACTACAGGCTAATCATGATCTTCTAATCACAGGACCTGGGGCTCAGAAACAAACTGAAAATCCATCGTCCTGATTTTCCTGAATATGTATTTCTTTTCTTTCTTATGAACCATCAGGTGGCTGTCACTGCAATGAAATGAGCAGGAGATACCCCTAATATCCCAAATCCTGGTTCTTCCACCAGCCAGGGGTAAAGGAATGAGCAGACACCTGCCGGGAGCATGGGCTGTAAGCCTGACTCACAGGTGGGTTGTAGGTTCTAGCTCACTGAAATTCCACTAGTGTGTTTCAACCAGGAATTGCTATTCAGGAATCCCTTCCTTAGGCTTATGTTTTATGATCACTTGCATCCATTAGCTTACAGCCCTAAGTTTTCTTTACATTTACCAAGTCCTCTGTCAATAAGAGCGAGTTCTTGTATTTTGTGTGAATTGTATCACCTAGAATTTTGAACTCAACATTTTAATACGATGATGGTTCTATTAAGATACAGGTTTTTTTTTTTTAAAGATTTTATTTATTAATTTGATGGAGAGAGACACAGGGAGAGAGGGAACACAAGCAGGGGGAGTGGGAGAGGGAGAAGCAGGCTTCCCGCTGAGCGGGGAGCCTGATGTGGGACTCGATCCCAGGACCCTGGGATCATGACCTGAGCTGAAGGCAGACGCTTAAAGACTGAGCCACCCAGGTGCCCCAAGATCCAGGGTTTTAGCGAAGTTAATAACTATTCTTCACAGTAAAACTCGAACATCCAACAATAGCCCCATCTGACCTTTAGTTTTAACTCAGGCACTGCACCAATAATTTCCAAAGAAGAGTCCAAAGTCATTAATCATTTCAGATAAGGCTGCCTTGGCTGTGAGTACCAGGCCAGGTTAAGAGAGGGAAATTATGAGCAGACAGATTCTAAAGTAATTCTTTCCCTTAGCACCTGACATATTTTATATTTTTATTTATGATCTCTTCTCCCTATGAAAATGTAAACTCTGATAATTTTTGTTCTCTATCTGCAATATCTAGACCAATGTCTGGCACGTATAGATGGCTCATAAATATTTGTTGCATAAATGGGTCAATTGTTCCTAATAAGGTTAGCCAATGTTGTTGTATATTTATAAGATGGGAAGCATATTGTTTTTATTTAGGGAGAGACTGGTTCCTTTGTTTCCTTACAAAAGTAGGTTCCGATGGGATTTGCTATGGATTGAAGCCTAAAGGGGTGATGTCAGGGAGGGGACTATAAAGTTTGCGTTGGCACAGGCTTTGCTTTGAGATTCAAGACACAAAGGAGTGGTTTCCTGTAGAAGGGTCTGCTGTCTGCTCCCAACAGGAGTAAGCAGTACCAGAAGGGGGCCCAGGACCACTCAGATAACAGAGGTTTCCTACCTTGGGGCAGAGAGCCAAAAACACTACCTAAATGTTGACTGGGCATTTTAGGGATTAAAAGGCCCTGTGAAACCCTCTGACTAGGCCCTGTTAATTGGTATTCTAAAATTTCATCTCATGGAAATCAAATGAATCAGCTTTGGTCTAGCCCTCTTATGAAAAACATTTCTATAGATGGTCCCTGACTTACTATGGTTCGACTGACAATTTTTTTTACTTTACAATGGTGTGAAAGTGATATGTATTCAGTAGAGACCATACTTCGAATTTTGAATCTGGATCTTTTCCCGGGCTGGCGATTCATGATGCTGGGCAATGAGCCTCAGACCCCCCAGCCAGCCACTCGATTACAGGGTAAATAACCAATACGCTTATAACTATTCTCTGCTCATACAGCCGTCCTGTTTTTCATTTTCAGTACAGTATTCAGTACATTACATGAGATATTCAACCCGTTATCATAAATAGGCTTTGTGTTAGAAATTTTGCCCAACTGTAGGCTAATGTAAGTGTTCTGAGCACATTTAAGTTTGGCCAGGCTAAGCTACGCTGTTTGGTAGGTTAGATGTATTAAATACATTTTTTTTTTTAAAGATTTTATTTATTTTTCAACAGAGGGAGAGAGACAGCAAGAGAGGGAACA